AAAAAAATAGAAGATGTGAAAGAAAATGAGCGGAGAAAAGCAACTGAAGAACTGGAAGCCTGGAAGGAATGTCAGAGAAACGCTGGAGGACACGAGGGAGCTCGGAGAGAAGAGGAGGCAGGTCAAAGGGGAAAGCCGGTGGGAGAAAGAAGAAAGTTAAAGCATCAGAGTCTTCCTGGAAGTTTGACATCTAGACACAGTGCAGCAAAAGGTACGGTGATGAGTTTGGTGTTCTCTGGAGAAGTGAGCCGGTTGGTGAAGCCATGTGCACACTTGTTCTCTGTCTTGGGAAGTCTGTCTGTGCACTGTCTGGTGTTTTGATCTACTGAGGGGAGACACCCAACGCAGAGACTAGGATGAAACTTACGTCCATCTTCTCCTCGGGAGCAGTGAGCTTTTCCACTGCAGTGAGCGAGGGTCCAGTGTCAGCTTCGCCTGTGCGTGCATGTGCGTGTGTGTGTGTGTTCGTGTCCGAATGTGCTTTGTTAGGGTTTGTGTCTAGGTGTCCCCCTAAAGCCTCATGCAGTCTTGGGGCTCTTCCCAGAGGTGGCTGAATCTAGAGTGTGATTAAGGCTATGTGATCAGTTTACTGATCGGTTTGACACCACCCTAATCCCAGCTGCCTAGATGAAGTATAAAAGGGGCAGAAGCTGGGCGTGGTGGTGCACCCCTGTAATCCAGCACTCCGGAGGCTGAGGCAGGAGGATCACCGCGAGTTCGAAGCCAGCCTGGGCTACAAAGTGAGCTCCAGGCCAGCCTGAACTGCATAGCAAGACCCTGTCTCAAAAAGATAAATAAATAAATAAATAAATAAATAAATAAATAAATAAATAAATAAATAAAAGGGGCGAAAAGACACTGTTAAGGTCCGTTGTTGACTTTGCTGTCTTCTGCCTGCTATGAACTAGTTTTCTTCTGCATTGCCCACCTGTGAAGCCAGTTATGGACTAAAACCTCTACCAACTGTAAGCTAAATATACCCTTCCTTCCTTCCTTACTTTTGGGCATCAGGTGTTTCATCTCAGCAATAAGAAAAGTAACTAAGATAGTGCTTAACTTTGATCCAGACTTGGAGTGGACTAGCAGAGTCAGGAGCGTTTATTTTTTTAGAGATGAGAAACTAGGAATTTTATTAGAAGAGGTTTTCTGACATGATTTAGGAAAATGAATGCTATAAACATAGTCTTTAGTAAATAGGGATTGCTTCTGGCCTTTGACCCTGATGTTAAAAAAGAGCTAAAAGAGTCAGATGTGGTAGCTGAGCCTGTGATCCCGGCACTTGAGAGGCTGAGGCAGGAGAATTGAAAGTTCAAGGCCAGTTTGGGCTGCAGAATGAGTCCCTATCTCAAGCAAGCAAGCAAGCAAGCAAGCTAGCTAAACAGCCAGGTGTGGTAACACAGGCCTATAATCCCAGCACTCGGGAGGCTGAGGCAGGAGGATCATTTTGAGTTTGAGACATCAGCCTGGGCGACAAAGTGAGCTTAAGGCCAGCCTGAACTGCATAGCGAGACTCTGTCTCAAAAAGACAAAAAAAAAAAAGCTAAAAGTAGGAGTGTGCACTTCATCTGATTGTAGAATGTTGATATTGTTTGAGGTGGACAGCAGACCCCCAGTTCCTGGGGTGTATCCCAGGGTCCCAGGAATGCTGAGGCCTGCACATGCTCTGTTTGTCCTGTGTGCACGTGGCCGGGATGAACCCTTCCCTTTCACGGAGGGAAGCACTCGCGGCTTCTGTTTGGACACTGGTGGCCAGCACAGCTCCCTGTGTGTCTGCTCGCGCTGCATGTGCATGGCCAGGTCCCTGTGGTGCGGCCTGAAGAGTCCCCTGCAGGGTGCTGCTCCCCAAGCATGCAGGGAAGGACCCAGTTCTTTCACCCCATGGGCAGCAGGACACACTCCTGCACACAGAAACTCTGCTCAGGATTTTATATTTAATCTTTAATGTGGGCAGAGAGCTGAGGAGCAAACAGAAGAGAGCAACTCAGAACAACTAAGTAGGGAGAACCAAGATGGCAGAGTAGTGATCAGCAGCAAACACAGTCTCTGCAGGGCCCAGAACGACTTGGTGAAGAGAAAGACAGGTGGGCTCTGGGAACTGGGAGAGAACTGATAGGACAATCAGAAACCAGAGGGAAGTGGAGCAGCGGACCACAACACAGAGAAGAATCAGACAGTCTGGAAGCTCGCCTGGCAGCGGGGAAGCTGTGCTCACAGACACATGGTCGCCTCCAGGGTCGGGAGCACGGGGAGAACAACTGCGCAGGCAGCGCTCGTCCTGAGAGAAGCTCGTGCTGTTGTAACCTGCACAGACAGTGGGAGACTGTGCCCAGGAAGGGAGCCTCCCACACAGCGAGCTAGAACTGACATGGAGTCCTGGGCAGTGCCCGCCGTATTGGAGAGGATTTCACCTGGTGTCCTTTTAGGAAAAGGTTGAGTATTTAAGACTGAGCCACAGAACAACTAGAAAACAACTTCCCTTCCGAGTTCCCAGTTTTACCCTCCGTCTTAGTTACTTGTCCCTGGAACACAATACCCAGTACCTGCAGCTTGAAGGGAAGGTTCGTTTCAGCTCACAACTTGTAGAGGTTTCAGTACACGGTCGACTGGCTCCAAGGAAGGTGGCCTGGCAGACGGGCACAGCTGAGAAGTGGCTTAGTACATGGCAGCAGGGAAGCTGAGAGGAAAAAATCGAGAGAGGAGAGGAGGAGATAGACCCTTCCCAGCCACACCCACAGTAACCCACATCCGCCCACTAGGCTTCACCTCCCAACCTCACACTTAGCTGTAACCTCATCAGTACAGTAGTCCACTGGTGTCATGCCCCCGCGATCCAGGCACCTTTCCAGATCCTCACCTATGAGACCTGAGGCTTTGGGGGGGGGGTCATCTAGATATAAACCATAGCATATAAACTGACACCCTCCCACAGTGACGGGTAATGGACAACCACAGGAGACAGTCCTGAGAAGATGGGAGCTAGACACAGACTCCCTGAGAAGTTTAAACTCAGAGTGGAAAGGACACAGGGCCTGGCCCTTAGTGGTGAGAAACCAGGCCCAGGATGTGTGGTTCGCAGAGGTGGCTGGGTCTGAAAGGGCTGGCATTAAGTACAGTGGTCCACTTGAACCCTCACCATGACTTTGGGGATTTCAGAATTGTGGATCCTACCACCAGGCATGGTGGCACACACCTATAATCCCAGCACTCAGGAAGCTGAGGCAGGAGAATTCTTGTGAGTTTGAGAGTAGCCTGGGCTACAAAGTGAGCTCATTTTGTAGCCCAGACTGGCCTTGAACTCACAATCATCCTCCTGCCTCAGCCTCCCAAGTGCTGGGATTACACGCATGTGCCACTATGCCCAGCTAGCATGGTGAATTTTTATTGGGTAGTATCAGTCATCTTTTGTTGCTAGGCAGAAAGTCCTTGAAACAAGTTAGCAAACAGGGTATATGTGTGGCTAAAAAGTCAAGAGTGTGCAGCAGGGTGTGGTCAGACTGAACTGGGTCAGGCTACCCACTGGGTGAGGCTGGTCAGGGCTGACTGAGTCTGGCGGCTGAGCTATGTGCTGGGTTGGATGGTAGTATTTTTCCTAATATGGTATCAGACTACTAGTTGGTTATTGAAATTTCCATCACTCTTGGTTATGTTGGTTTGTATACAGCTGGATTCAATTTGTATAGTATTTTGTAAGTGAGCTTCACACTTATCTGCACATTGATATTTACTGATTCTTGTCTTTTTCCTACTCTCCATGTACAGACTTGATAGCACACTGCACTAGCACCACAGATTTTTTTGGCTATTTTTTGAAATAATTTGGTTAGATATGAAATATATGTTACTTGAAAATTTAATAAAACTGCCTCTAAAATTGTCCAGGTCTGAAGTTTTCTTTTTTTTTATGACAATCTGTTTAGTTTTATTTATTTATTTTGTCTTTTTGAGACAGGGTCTCTCTGTGCAGTTAGGGCTGGCCTTGAGCTCACTTTGTAGCCCAGGCTGGTCTCGAACTCAAAATGATCCTCCTGCCAGAGGCTCCTGAGTGCTGGGATTATAGGCCAGAACCATCATGCCTGGCTGTTTAATTTATTTATTTATGTTTCTAAATTCCTCATATTTATTTATTTAGTTAGTTAGTTTTTTGGGAGTTTTTTTTGTTGCTGTTATTTTTTGCCTTTTTGAGATAGGGTTTCACTATGTAGTTCAGGCTGGCCTGGAGCTCACTTTGTAGCCCAGGCTGGCCTTAAACTCAGTGATCCTCCTGCTTCAGCCTCCGAAGTGCTGGGATTACAGGCGTGTGCCACCATACCCAGCTATTTTTTTCTTTTGGTAGTTGAACTCAGAACTTTATGCTTACCAGGCAGGCACTTGTGCCACTGAGCTATATCCCCGGCCCTGATTTAGTTTTTGTTTTTGTTTCTGTTTTTGTCTTTTTGAGACGGGGTCTCACTATGCAGTTCAGGCTGACCTGGAGCTCACTTCCTCCTGCCTGAGCCTACCAAGTGCTGGGATTACAGGTGTGAGCCACCACACCTAGCTTATTTACTTTTATAGTATTTGTTATTCAGATTTTCTATTTTTCTTTTTTTACATTAAATAAAATTTAAATAAAATTTTAAAACATTTGTGGGGCTGGGGATTGAACTCAGGGCCTTCACACTGAGCTAATCCCAGCCCTCTTTAATTTTTATGTTGAAACAGTCTTGCTAAATCACTAGATTTCCCAGATGGGACTCAAATTTTCAGTTTTCCTGTCTCAGCCCCCAAGAGTGCTTGGATTACTGGCATGGGCCACACCTTTTTTTAGTTTTATAAATGGCAGTTTTTTAATTTAAGTATTCATTTTCTGCCATAGATATTACTCTCTGTCCTACTTTTTGCAAATCTTTTTCACCAGTTTGATATTTGTCTTTAAGTCTGTGTATCATACTTTGGGTGCTTTGTGGGGGTCGTCTTCTGTTGGTGTTGTTCTGGTTTTGTAAAATTTTATTGGTTCTATTCGTATAGGTTATTCACTTCTCCTCTTCCCGTGGCTTAGTGCACCCTCCCTCCACCCTGCACCGAAGGGTTAGTGCTCTTGCTGTCTTGTGTAGCTTTCTTCTGACAGTGGCAAACTCAGTGTCTACCAAGGACCAAAAAAAAATTCCTCCTCTGCATTTTAATTTCTTTATGAGACAGGGTAGTAGTCAGGCTGTAGTTCAGGCTGGACTTGAACTCACTATTGCATAGGCTGGCCTCAGACTTGCTGCAATCCCCTGCCCCAGGCTCCCAAAGTGCTAGGATTACAGGTGTGTGCACCACATCCAGCCCCATATTATTTTTTTGACCAAAATGAAATATTAACCAAAGGTCAAGATGAGAAGAGGGGGGGCTGGGGATTTAGCTCAGCGGCAAAAGCACCTGCCTGGCAAGCGCAAGGTCGTGAGTTCGGTTCCCGGTACCGGAGAAAAACAAAAAACAAAAAACAAAAAACAAACAAACAAAAAAAAAAGATGAGAAGAGGGAAGTCACTGAGATGAATGTCTTTACTGAAATAACTGATAAATTTGTCAAACTCAAGAAAAAAATAGGTAGCTGCCATAGTGCTTATTGTTTTATATTGCTTATTGCAGAAGTTATCTTTGGTTTGTAATTATTTATAATAGTTTGTTAGCTGGGTGTGGTGGTGCACGCCTGTAATCCCAGCATTTAGGAGGCTGAGGCAGGAGGATCACTGTAAGTTTGAGGCCAGCCAGGCTACAAAGTGAGTTCATTCTTTTTTGATACTGGGACTCAAACTCAGGACCTTGCAATTGCTAGGCAGGCACTTGTGCCGCTGAGCTACATCTCCAGCCCTACAAAATGAGTTCAAAGCCAACCTGAACTGCATATTGAGACCCTGTCTCAAAATGACCAAAAAAAAAAAAGTCCATTTGTGCATTAGAAAATGAGAAGTGCTGTACTTATTGCTGCCATGCTTTTAAAGGAAGAGACTGGGGAAGCATATTTCCTGCGGAGCGGGAGGAGGAACGCGTCCCTGCGCCCCGCCCGGCCGGCAGCATCACGGTCAGCTTCACCCCACGCGTGTTCCCCACGGCGCTGCGCGAGTCCCAGGCGGCCCTGGAGGAGGAGGTGAGGCAGCTGCCTAGGGTGCTTACTTTGCTTCATGGGCTGGAAGGAGTGCTGGTTTCGAATTTATTTTATCTTTTGAAGGGTAAAAATTTTATTTTACTTTTGGGGTTTTTTGTTGTTGTCTTTTTGAGACAGGGTCTCACTATGCAGTTCAGACTGGCCTTGAGCTCACTTTGTAGCCCAGGCTGGTCTCGAACTCGAAATGATCCTCCTGCCTCAGCTTCCTGAGTGCTGGGATTACAGGTGTGCACCACCATGGCCAGCTCAAAATTTTTATTTTTGAGAAATTTTTTACTGTACATTTTGAAAAAGAGTCACAAAAAAGCAAAAATGTTGGTCTCCCCCGCATCCTAAAAATAAATAAGGGCAGATTTATTTTTGTTTAAGTCATGACGCTTCAAAGTTTAGCATTGGCATCCAGAATGAACAAAAAAGGAAAGAAAGCATTTCCGATATAACAATTTCAGATTTCTTTAGTTGGGGTTCTCCCCATGTAGTTTCAATATTTCTTCTTTCAAATACCAAAACAGTAAAAACCAGGAAAAAATATAACCCTAGTGGTGGCTGAAGCTGGGGACGATACTGTCCTGTCTGAAGCAGGCGTTCCTGGGCGCACAGCTGGCCGGGAACATTTGCTGGCGTCATCTTCTAGAATTTAAGCTTTTGTTACACTAGAGATCCTACTCGTGGTTATACTTCAGTGTTTTCTCGTGAGAAAATGCATTTTGTAGGTTTCTTGGCTCAGAATGCTATTTTTTTTTGTCTTTTTGAGCCAGGGTCTCGCTATGCAGTTCAGGCTGGCCTTGAGCTCACTTTGTAGCCCAGGCTGTACTCGAACTTGCAATGATCCTCCTGCCTCAGCCTTCCGAGTGCTGGGATTACAGGTGTGCGCCACCACGCCTGGCCTGTTTTCTTTTTTTGGAGACAGGGTCTCACTGTGCCCTTTGGCTGGCCTCAGACTCACTGGTAACCCTCCTGCTTCAGTCTCTCGGCTTCTGGGATTACAGGCATGCACCACTACTCTCCACTGGCAGAGAATACTGTTGAGAGAACACTGGTTTAATATAAAACATTGTTGAACCGGGTGTGGTGGCACACACCTGTAATCCCAGCACTCGGGAGGCTGAGGCAGGAGGATCATTGTGAGTTGGAGACCAGCCTGGGCTATGAAATTAGCTCAAAGCCAACCTGAACTGCATAGTGAGACCCTGTCTCAAAAAGACAAAAAACAAAACAAGAAAACAAAAAACAACAACAAAAAGGTAAACTATTCACATGGCATTTATTTTATCAGATACATCATTTTCTATAATATACTTATAAACGTGAGAGGGACCTGGGCATGGTGGAACATGTCTGCAATCCCAGGACCACAGACGTAATCGGGAGTCTGAGGAGCAGGGTCACTGAGTTGGAGGCCAGCCTGGGCTGCAGCACCCCACGCAGCTCCAGGCCTGCGATTGTATTGGAACGACCCTAATGAACCGAGACAGTGTCTTTCATAAGACCCCAACCTCCTTGCAGTGGCTGCACAAGCAGGCCCAGGCACGAAGAGCCGTGAACACGGATGCTCCTGAATTTGGGGATTTAAAAGAAGAAGAGAAGAACCCAGAGTGGCTGAAGGAAAAAGGAAAGTAAGTTCCTTGAACTCCAGCCGGGCAGATTGTAACTGGTGTAGAGATCAGTACGGAGCCCGGCCGGGGGGTTCGAGCACTGTGCTTGTGTGTGCAGCCTTGTCAGTGGCAGGTCCTGCGAGCGCCAGGGCCTGTGAATAAGCAGCCAGGCAGCAGGGCTTTCGCACTGAAAAAGCCGTAATAGAGCAGCTAAGTGCGCTGCTCACTCGTGTGCTTCAGTGTCATAACAATGAAAAATATATCATTTGGCACGCTCACTAAAATCTCTTCACTTTTGTGTTTAACACAGATCCTTCCTGAGCTGTCTCTTAGAAACAAGTGTTTTTAATACTAGAGCTTTATTATTCACATCTATTTCAAAAGATTGCCAAATTATGTCATAAATTACCTTTTTTATATCCAAGCTGTCATTTTATTTATTTACTTATTGCTCTGTGATTGTTTTGTTTGTTTGAGACAAGGTCTTGCTATGGAGCCCAGGCTGGCCTCAAACTTACTGATCCTTCTGCCTCAGCCTCCTGAGTGCTGGGATTACAGGTGCGTACCACCGCACCCAGCTTCTGTGTGAACATTGTGATACATTCACTGAAAACTGCATTCTGGTGCATTCTGAATGGCAGTTTGAGTTCCTAGTTCTGAGGCAGCTATGGATTTTATTGGTATCTCATTACATGTGTTTTTTAAACTTTCTTCTTGCCTCTGTGACAAAGCCCCTCAACCTCCACAGCCTAAATCAGCACGGAGCTCCAGCGTCGGAAGCCACAGTGAGTCGGCTCACTGCTGGATGTGCAGGAAACCCTTCTCTGGCTGGAGCTGGGTTCAAGGCATCTCCATCTTCCTGTTTCCCTGCCTCGCCCACCGTCGCAGCCGCCTCTTCCAGCCTTTCAGAGAACCAACTCTTGGATTCATTGATCCTTTGTGTTTTTTAGTCTCAATTTCATTAATTTCAGCTCTCATCTTTATACTTGCTTTTCTTCCATTAATTTCAGATTTGAATTGCTCTTGTTTTTCTAGGACCTTGAAATCCATCATTAGTGTTGTGTTGTGTTTTGTTTTGTTTTGTTTTGTGACAAGGTCTTGCTTTGTAGCTCAGGTTGGCCTCTAACTCAGTGATCCTCCTGCCTCAGCCTCCCGAGTGCTGGGATTACAGGCTTGCATCACCAGGCCTGGCACTGCAGTTTCTTCCTGGTGTGAACACCGCAAGCAAGCTGTGCAGACCCGGCAGGCTATGGGTCGGGAGGCTTCTGGCTCACCCATGGCCTGCTGTGCACTGCGGTGTGGTCCCTCGGTGGTCACTGTGAGTCCTGTCCACCCTGCCCTCTGGGGCGCCCATGGGTCTGCTGGCCTGCTGGCTGCCCCACAGCTCCTCCTCGCTCCTGAGCACTCCAGGTGTGGCCACCGGCCTTCAGGGTCCCTCCTCACTCCATGCTCGCCAGCCACATCTCGGGCAGCCCGGGAGCTGGGGTAGGCGCCGCCTCTACGGGTTGTGCCCAGCAGAGGGGACAGACGTCTGGCCTGTGCGCGGTCCCCGGCCGCAGCTCCCTCGTGTGGACACCGCGGTCACTCGTGGCTGTGCCACCGGCCTGGAGGAGGGAGCCGGCCTCTGCGCTCCGTCCGCGTCCCTGTTGCAGGGCCTCGTCTGGTTTTGTCTCCTTAGCAAATTGTTTGCAACGGAGAACTACCTGGCCGCGGCTGACGCGTACAGCTTAGCCATCAGACTGAGCAGCAGGACCCCGGTGCTGTACCTGAACCGGGCCGCGTGCCACCTGAAGCTGAGGAACTTGCACAAGGCCATCGAAGATTCTTCAACGGTACATGCGTAGCTATTCACTTTCTTTTGTATTGTTCTGTTTTGGTCTTTTTGAGACAGGGTCTCTCTGTGCAGTTCAGGCTGGCTTTGAGCTCAACTTGTAGCCCAGCTGGTCTCGAACGTGATGATCCTCCTGCCTCAGCCTCCCGAGTGCTGGGATTACAGGTGTGCACCACCATGTCTGGCTCAAATGTAGGAGATATTTCTTTTTATTTTACTTTATTTCTTTATTTTGCGGAGGGTACCCGGAGTCGAACTCATGACCTCAGGCTTGCCAGGCAAGCGCTTAAGCCGCTGATCTATATCCCGGCCCCTTCATGTCTATTCACTTGTATGTGTTGCTTTAAAATTTTTTTGTTTGCTGGGTGTGGTGGTGCACGCCTATAATCCCAGCACTCGGGAGGCGGAGGCAGGAAGATTGTTGAGAGTTGAGGCCAGCCTGGGCTACAAAGTGAGCTCAAGGTCAGCCTGAACTGCATAGTGGGAACCTGTCTCAAAAAAGACAAAAAAAAAAAATTTTTTTTAAGAGTAGGAAAATTTATTGGAGTATAAGGAATGGGGGTATGGGGATAGAAATAGCTCCTGAGAGACCGGGGGGCGGGGGGAGGGTCCTGAATGAGCTACCCTGATGCCTTAAAATTTTTATCCTGTGTTTATTGGTTTAAATGGTGCTGTTAGGCTAGGATACAGCTTGGTGGTAGAGTGCTTAGCATGTGTGAGCGCCTGAGGTTTTTTTCTCTTAAACAGTGGAGAAGCAAGGATTAAATAAATTAATTTAATTTATTACATATTTTTTTGTTTGTGTTTTGAGTCAGGGTTTTACTGTGTAGGTCAGATTGGCCTTAAACTCATTCTGTAGCGCAGGCTGGCCTGATTCTCTTGGGGATCCCCCTGCCTCAGCCTCTAGAGTGCTGTGATTATAGCAGACCCAGCTCAAAAAGTGAACTTCTTTATTTGGTGGTGCTGGGGGCCTCATGATGCTATGCAAGTGCTCCAACAAGTAGCTCCCCTTTCCACCCCTATTATATCTTCTTATTGCTTTTTTTTTTGAGACAGGGTCTTGCTGTGCACTGTAGGCTGTCCTTAAACTTGCTGTGTAGTGCAGGGTGGCCTCAAACTCAAAGTGATCTTCCTGCCTCAACCTCCCCAGTGCTGGGCTGGATCTCAGTATTATTTAACCCAGTTTTTCCTTCAGCCAGTAAAATTCTGTGCACAAGTATTTACTGAATGAAGAATAAACTGCCACCCAGTCTAAAGACAAAGATGCAAGGCTGTGTAGTCACTCCTGTTGGTGAGAGTGAATCTCAGGGACATCTGAGGGTCAGCCCGAGTGCACCAGGGCCCGTTATGAAGCTCACACAAGAGCAACCCAGCAGTTCCTTAAATTGGTCAACATAAATGTGTATTTTGATAAATTCCCACACCAGATGATATGGGGGGAGAAACTCCCAACCTGAAAGATACCTGGGACGAGTTCGTGTTTTCTAAAATCCAAGAATGAATTTTAGGAACAGCGGAGGTTAAGAGCAGAATATATTTATTGAGGGAAGGAAAGCTTCTGTCCGAGAGAGGGACAGAAGGGGCCCGAGTGGGTTGCCCAGGAACCTGTCTTTTCTAGGGACTTTTATAGAGCAAATCCTCCAGGTGAGGTGGGTTCAAGGTGGAAATATGGGAACTCACTGGGGGTGGGGGTTGGGTTAGTGACTCTTCCAGGCTTTTTCAAGGTAATGGCTACCTATTTAAAATATCAATCCTTGAGGCCACCCCTAGGGAAGTATGTGGGTGCCTCTGTTTAATCTTTTGTCCACAGCTGGAGGTGTCTGTCTCCCCAACAGCTGCAAGATAGCTCATCTTCTGTACTGGCTTCGAGGGCCTGGCCCTGTCTGACTGCTGTAATATTTCTAATATTTCTATCTAACTCAGCTGCCTATAATACAACTAAACCAAAACTTACCTGAAGCCTTGAGACGTTTTTTAATATGTTTTTTCTTACATTTAAATTTGGAAGCTGCAGGGCGTGGTGGCGCATGCCTGTAATCCCAGCACTCGGGAGGCTGAGGCAGGAGGATCATTGGGAGTTCGAGGCCAGCCTGGGCTACAAAGTGAGCACAAGGCCAGCGTGAACTGCAGAGCAAGAAAAAAGACAAAAAGAAAAAAAATTTGGAAGTGATAGCTGGGCCAAATGGCACAGATCTGTCTCAAAATGAGAAAAGAAGGGTCAGGGACGTAGCTCAGTGCCAAGGCCTTGGGTTCAAACCCCAGTACTGAAAGAAAAATAGCCAGTGGAAACCCAAAACGCAGCCCAAAGGCATGTGCTTTCCCCGTGGGTGATGTGTGTGTTTACATTTTGCAAGGCTTTGGCACTGCTGACCCCGCCGGTTGCAGACAATGCAGATGCAAGAATGAAAGCTCACCTCCGCCGCGGAGCTGCGTTCTGCCAACTGGAACTGTATGTGGAGGGTGAGAAAGTGATAGACATGTTCCCGCTTGCAAGTTGTGTGCTGGGAAAATATCACTGGGGTTGTTTCAGATTGTGACTTTTAGGACTTTGTGATTTTAAAATTTTAGCATTTGATTTATTCTTAGAAATGCATCACATACAGCAACCATTGTTACTTTCTTTTCACCTTGTCTGAAATTCTGTATGGTTTTTATTGTTTTTATGTTGTTTTTTTATAGGCAGCTGAGTTAGATAGAAATATTACAGGCAGTCAGGGGGCTGGGGATTTAGCTCAGCGGCACAGCGCCTGCCTCGCAAACGCAGGGTCGTGAGTTCGGTTCCTGGTACCGGGGAAAAAAAAAAAAAAAAAAAAAAAACAAAAAAAAACAAATACAGGCAGTCAGACAGGGCCAGGCCCTCGAAGGAGCCAGAATGGAAGACAAGATACCTTACAAATGGAGAGCTGGTACTTGCTTCGGGCCAGATCTCAAGACTAAAGATTAAAAAAAAAAAAAAAAAGACTAAAGATTAGACAAACACACCCTCTTACCTCCCAAGGGATGGACCTCAGGGATTGATATTCGAAGTAGGTAGCCATAACCTTGAAGAGTCACTGACCCAAACCCTTACAGGAAAAGCCCCTGTTCTGTATTCATGCCCCCTTGCTGCGTGACCCCCTTCCCCATTTGATCCCAATTTAATCAATTTTCCCTGAGCAATTCTTATTGGCTGACCACAGTTTTGTCCATTTGTCCCCTACCTTGGACCCACCTCACCTTGTAGTTTTGCTCTATAAAAGTCCCTAGAAAAGACAGGTTCCTGGGCAACCCACTCAGCCTCCCTTCTGTCCCTCTCTCGGACAGAAGCTTTCCTTCCCTCAATACATATATTCTGCTCTTAACCTCCGTTGTTCCTAAAATTCATTCTTGGATTTTAGAGAACATGAACTCATCCCAGATATCATTCAGGTTGGGAGTTTTTATTTTCCTGTATCAGTTTCATTTATGTCTGTGTGTTTGTTAATATGTTTTGGTGCTTTTATCTCTAAAAGTAAAATTAAAAAAAAGAAATGCATCAGAAAATACAAATAGCTTTTAAAATTTTACTGATTGACTGACTGATTGATGGTGCCGCTGGGAATTGAAGCCAAGGCCTTCACACAGACTGAGCTACATCCCCAGCCTTTTAAAATTTTGAGACAGGGTCTCTCTAAGTTGCCAGGCTGGACTTGAAACTGTGATCCTTCTGCGTTGGCCTCTTAGGGTACTGGGGTTACAGATGTGTGCCACCATGCCCAGCCAGAATTATATTTTAAAAATTTATTGTAGGACCAGGGATATAGCTCAGTGGTAAAGCACATGCCTACTGATAGATTTTGGTCGGGGCAGAAAGTAATAAAACAATAAACTGCCTTTATTGCGGGCATGGAGAAGACCACAGAGGGGAGGGGTAAGGAGGTGGTGGATCTTCTGAGCGCCTGGCTGTAAGAACAGCGGTTAAATATTGCCAGGCTGGAGGCGGGGTTTAGGGGGTAGACCAGCTGACGGGGCATGCCAGCATTGGGTGGGAGCGTGGTAAAATGAAACAGGACACTACAAAGGGGGGTAAGGACTCGTAATTTAACCCAGATAAAGAAGGGTGGGGCTTAGCACATGGCCTCTAGTGGCCAGTGCCATACTGGCCATGGCATGTAGCCTCCAGTAGGTGGCGCCACAGCGACTGTAAAGGAATTATAATAAGAGAAGGAACCCATCACCTACCATGTTCAAAGCCATGCATTCGGTCCCCAGCACCCCATAAATAAATAAATAAATTCAGGTGTGATGGGTGCACACCCCTAAAATCCCAGCACTTAGGAGGGTCACCAGCAGTTCAGCCTAGGCTACATAGTAAATTCAAGGCCAGCCTGGACAACATAGCAAAACCCTGTCTGAAAAATACACACACCTGCCTGGTGTGGTGGCACATGCCTGTAATCCCAGCACTCAGGGAGGCTGAGGCAGGAGGATAGGTACAAGTTTGAGACCAGGCTGGGCTACAAAGTGAGTTCAAGACCAGCCTGAAATGCACAGAGAGACCCTGTCTCAAAAAAACCAAACAAACAAATAAACAAAAACACACACACCTACACACAAAAACCAAAATGAAACAAAACCAAAACAAAAAAGAAGAAAAGTCTGATTGTTTTTGTTTTTTGGGGATTTTTTTTTTTTTTTTTTTATCAGCTACGGGAGCCTTCATTTTAGAGATGAGAAGAGATGGATTTGCCTGAAAGGGAGGCAAGTCAGGGTCCCTGGGACTAGCGCCCAGTCTCCTTACTCCCTGAGGAAAATTTGTCAGAGGCTTTTTGGGAACAAATGGAGATGCAGTTACTTGTTTTTAGCAAAATTTACAATACTTTTCTTTTTACCCAAACTTCCTCAAAAGAATTGGGTAGCTAATTACAGAAAAAAAGTACCAGTCTATGAACAGAAGGTATGGAGTGAATCTACAAAATGTTTTAAGGATCTTCTTCCTGGCTCAGTGGTGGATCTTCTGCCTATCATGTGCTGAGTCCTGAGTTCAATCTCCAGTGCTCTCTGAAATATCTAAAATTTCTTTTTTTTTTTTGGTACTGGGAATTGAACTCAGGGCCTTGTGCTTGCCAGGCAAGCACTTGTGCCACTGAGCTATATCCCTGGTCCTAGAATTTCTAAATTACTTTTTCACTGAGGTGATGAAAAGTATTCTTTTTTTTTGTTCTTGTTTTTTTTTGTTGTTGTTTTTTTTGTTTTTTTTCTGGTACCGGTTATTGAACTCACGACCTTGCGCTTGCCAGGCAGGTGCTGTGCCGCTGAGCTAAATCCCCAGCCTGATGAAAAGTATTCTTGCGATATGTAAGTTTGAGTCTGTTTGCTATAGGAAATGATATATGATCTCCAAATGATATAGGGCATATATTATAACTCTCAACCTGCTAGATGTCTGATATGCCAAGTTTGTGCTCCCCAAAATTAAAGAATGAATTCTAAGGAACTTCAGAGATTTTTTTTTTTTTTTTTAACAGAGGTTAAGAGTAGGAAATGAGAGGGAGAGACAGCTCCTGAGAGGCAGGAGGGGTCCCCAGTGGGTTGTCAATGAGCCCACTTTCTGGAGGGAGGTTTTTTTTGAGACAGGGTCTTGCTATGCAGTTCAGCCTAGTCTTGAGCTCACTTTGTAGCTTAGGCTGGCCTTGAACTTGCAATGATCCTTCTGCCTCAGCCTCCCAAGGGCTGGGACTACAGGCGTGTGCCACCACACTTGGCTCATCTGGAGGGAGTTTTGTAGAGCAAAATCACAAGGTAGGTACAATGTGGGTTAAAGATAAGGTTACAAGTGCAGCTGCCTAGGCAATACTGATCCAGTGGGGAAGTAAGTCAGGTGGCGAGCGTACATGCAAAGAACACAGAGCTTTTCAGGAAGGGCTGAGTCTGAGGGCCTCGGTCACCCACTGAGGTGACTGATGTCTCTGTAGACTTCATTGGTCCAGTGTTATCGCTTATCCCTTGGACAGGCATGTAGGCCTGGTCATTCCATCTTTATCATGAGGCCTGGCCTCCAACAGCTGTGCCTCTGGCTACAGTTGTGATGTGTTCTCATCTTCTGTACTGACTTTCTCGAGAGCCTACCCTTCTCTGCCTAAAATATTTTTACCAAATTTAGCTATCTATAATATGTTCATTTTTGTTTTTCTTTTTGTAGTTCTGGCTGGCCTTGAACTCACTTTGTATCCCAGTCGGTCCTTGAAATCAGTGATCCTCCTGCCTTAGTCTTCCTAGCTGCCTCAGTCTCCCTAGAGCTGCTGGGATTATAGGTGTGTGCCACCAAAAATGGCCTGTTTGTATTTTAATGAGTTTAACTGTTAGTTTTTCTGCATTTAAATTTAAAATAGCTAGTGGGGTGTGGTGGGGCACACCTATAATCTCAGTACTCTGGTAGGCTGAGGCAGGAGAACCACAAATTCCAGCCTAGCCCTGGCAATTTTGTGACTTTAGCAAGACCCGGTCCCACGGTAATAAAACAGAGGGCTGGAAAAACCTATCAGGAAGAACGCCTGTAATCTTGTAGGGTTCTACCATATGTGAGAACGGGAAACTGTCTTAAAACCTGCACTTACCATGACAGTGTCCTCTCACGAGCTGCTCTCTGCCGTTGCTCTGAATGTAGGCCTGCAGGACTACGATGCTGCGCTTAGGATCGATCCAGCTAACACAGCTGTGCAAAGTGATGCTGAGAAGATTCGAAATGTAATTCAAGGAACAGAACTAAAATCACAGTGACCACTGGAAGCAGCTAATGTAGTACCAAGTATTTGAGGTATTTAGTAACAGGTTTTTAAATTTTTCAAAAATAGGAGCTGGGTGAGGTGGTACACACTGTGACCTTGTCACTTGGGAGGCTGAAGCAGGAGGAGCTAGAGTTCCAGACCAACCTGGGCTATGAGATTCTTTCTCAACAAAACAAGCGGAGATGTTCGGAATCTTTGTACATATATGGGTGATTATGCAGAATCCATGTACTGCTTAGTACTTCAGTTCTGTAAGGGCTAAACGTTAAACATCTGTAGAAAATTAAGTGTTTGCTTTATATAATTTCCAACAAGAATTACCATATTAAATTTTTTTTTTTTTTGTCTTTTTGAGCCAGGGTCTCGCTATGCAGTTCAGGCTGGCCTGGAGCTCACTTTGTAGCCCAGGCTGTCTGGAACTTGCAGTGATTGTCCTGCCGCAGCTTCCCAAGTGCTGGGATCACAGGCGTGTGCAAAGGAAAAAAAGATTAAAGAATTACCATATAATTACATATATTTGTAAATATCGTTTGTTGTCGCTTTTGGAGCAGAATGTGGGTGTGCTCGCGGGGCATTTGCTGGGCAGCATTTCACCGTGTGGAGCCCTCGGGTGGGTGCTGTGTTCCTGGAAGGTTCGGTCTGTGCTCAGTTCACCGGGTCAGGTCGCCTTCCTGGCATAAATATCCAGAGGCCCAGCTCCGCCCCAGAGCCTGGCTTTTCTTTACCGCCTCACTGCCACCGTGGATGATGCTTAGACCAGATCTTGCAGAAACTACTGTCCTGAGCAAACCTTACCTTCAACTTTGTGTCAAAGCAAAGCTGCAGCTTATTTAGTTCACAGGTCTTGGTGGACTGTGCAGCCCATCGCTTTGTAAGACAGAGGAAGCACCTCTGCGAGCTGGGCAGAAGAGGCTGGCTTTCTACACCGAAGTGCGACGGAGTGCAGAAAGAATATACAGCTGGCACACACCTGTAATAATAGCACTCGGGAGGATCACTGCAGGGCCAGGGCCAGCTTGGGCTACACAGTGAGACCCTGCCTCAAAAACAAGGAGTGAAAATTTGCATGGCACACACCCATATTCTTGGCCCTCAAGACTGCAAGTTCAAACCCAGCCAGGGCCACTTAGCAAGACCCCCATCTCGGAAGGAAAGGACGGAAACAAAAGGGGCTGAGGTGCAGCCCAGTAGTGCAGAGCCGGCCTGCGTGCCTGAGGCCCTGGGTTCAGGCCCCACAGGAGAAAAGGCAAGGGCAGCACATCTTCATTTAGTCACAGTGGGAGGCTGAGACAAGGGGTGCAAGTTTGAGCCCAGCACGGGCAACTAGGAGACTCAGTAGACCCTGTACTGTGTAATCCAGGCAGTTTGAGAGGCTGAGGCAGGAGGACCGTTAGTTCCAGGCTAATCAGGCACACATAGGGAGACCTTATCTGAAAAAAAGGGAAAAGGTCACTATCACTCAGTTATCAGATGAAATGTCTTTATTTCTTAGAGGTATATTTTCATTTACTCAGACGTGTTTTTAGCCTGGGTATTCTAGCCTTAAATTGGTAACTCATTTTTCTGGGCACTTTCTCTTCAATTGTCAAAGGAATATATTTTCACAGTGTGTGTTGAAAATTGGGGAAGTCAAGGGTTCTGGTTCTGTCCGGTGCGGTATTTAGACTGTTGTTCTGATAAAGTCCAGTTGCTCTGATATGTCTTGAAAAGACCTGTTCCTTGGGAGCATAATTGCAGGGCAGAAACTGCGGCCGCGGGGAGAACTCCCCGTATCGGCCTGCGCTGGTCTTGTACATTATCATCTGCGGCTGCGACAGGGAGGTGGCCGTGTGCAGCGTCTTCGGGTCCAACATGCAGGAGAACACAGGGTTGCCGGGGTTCACACACAGGGGCCGCGGGGCAGCTCGAGTTTCCGCATCTGGATCTGCAGCTGAAGGGCTCTTCCCGTCCTACCAGGCAAACACAGCAGGCCCTTCAGTTAGCAAACAGTGCAGCTTGGCGTTCCGCTGCGTTTCGGCGATCTTGTTTGAAAGCACTGAGGAGTACACCTGTACGTGACTTATCTGTACAGAGCACACTTGTCACAAATGTGCATGAAGGAGTTTTTAAAAAATCTTGTATCAAATTGGGCATCTCTGGGAGGCTGAGGCAGGAGGACTACAGACTGGACAATTTAGCAGTGTCTCAAGACCCTGTCTCAAAAGAAAAAAGGGCTGGGAATGTACCTCAGTGTGACAGCCCTGGGTTCAATCCCCAGTGCCATGAAATAAAAATCAAAACAAAACCAATGTCTTTTGCTAATAACGTTAAAATTTCTTACAAATTTGTACATTAGGAAAATGTGTAATAAATCGTAGTTGGAAGAAGAAGTTCTATTCAGTTTTTGTGGTGGACACCATTAGGCAAATAATTATACAACTGACTGAGTATATTTGTGTTAAATGCTGTGAAGAAAGAACGCCAGGTGTTTAGGAAGGTGTTCTGGGGCTCTGATCTGGGGGGTCAGGAGGCGAAGCTCATTAAATCCAAAGGGAGCGGGGTGGGAAGACAGGTGGCCAAAGCCAAGCAAGCAGGGTGCAGCTGTCCCAAGAGACAGAGGCAGGGCCAAACTCGTGGGTCTGAGTTGTGCTTACTCTGAGGTCCTGGCGCTGAGCTAGAGCCCTGGGCCAGGATGCACAGGGCCCTGGGTTCAATTCCAGGCACTGCCAAAATCCTTTTCTGAAAAGCCAATAATGAAAACCCAAACAAAAAACCCTACAGCACCTACCACTCAAAAACAAGTGTGGAAGAATTTAAACCAGCCAGATCGCTAGCCCCGGAAGCAGACTTAACTTACCACGACTGACTCAGCCAGTGGCTACCAGGCACCTGCTGGGCACCCAGCTGTATGGGATGTGGGTGCAGCTAAAAATCAGGTTTACAAAGTCGAAGGGAAACAGCTGCACCGTACAGGGCCACTGTGAGCACGGCTCGCTGGCAGGGAACTGGTAACTATGGAAAAGCTGGGGTGGGTGTGGGGGCGCACACCTGGGGTCTCTCCGCAGCCCTGGGTACGCTCCTCAGCTGCGCACACACACACAACTTGCACGGCTAGTTTTGAATTCTATACCGAAGACATAGTTGGGCATGGTGGTGCAGGCCTGTATTCTAGCTTCTTAGGAGGCTGAGCCAGAATCATAAATTCGAGGCCAGCCTGGGCAATTAGCAAGACCCTATTTCAAAATTTTGGTTTTGTTTTTTGAGACAGGGTCTCACAGTTTAGCCCAGTTTGTTCTTCAACTCATTGGTCTTCCTGCCTCAGCCTCCAGAGTGCTGGGACTGACAGGTGTGTGCCATGCTGCCTGGTTTATTTGTTTCTTTAAGACACCAACGCAGGCTCCTGTGTTGTCCGTCCACCTGCCTGCCCATTGCTCGGTGATGGGGCAGCACCACCATGCCCTGCCGGTTTTGCCTCTTTTTTTTTTTTTTTGTCTTTTTTGAGACAGGGTCTCGCTATGCAGTTCAGGCTGGCCTTGTGCTCACTTTGTAGCCCAGGATGGTCTCAAACTTGCAACAATCCTCCTGCCTCAGCCTCCTGAGTGCTGAGATTACAGGCATGGGCCACCACGCCCGGCTGCCTCATTTTAATGATAATCATGAGGCAAACTCTCAAGGAGGGTCTGCGGCCCACTGGAGGGGTGGGGCAAGGGGGGTTTTCCCTGGTTAGGTCCCAAGGTTGAACACAAGGGTGCGGGACATGCGCAACAAGGGTAGGCGGCGTGGCACAGAGCAGAACACAAGCGTGAGGGCCAGAGCTGCCTCCATCTTTGCACAGTTCTTACACAGGCTGTTCTCACGTTTACACTCTCACACAGTGCCGTAACCAGCACATGCATGTGCAGCTGTGCTGTCACGGTGACACGACTGTATCCCACTGTGCCCCTGTGCGAGACGAGCAGGGTCATGTCCTCAGGTGTCCTAGACGCCTGCGTGAGTGGTTCCCCACAGGGGCCGTTCCTCAGCAGACTGCCCTTTGTGTCCCCTCTGAAGCGTCTGGGACAATGCTACCAGTACCCTCCTTTCGATTCAGAACCCAGACCTCAGAAAGTGTAAAGCCCACCTTGTTCTCCATGCGCCGCATCGGCTAAGTTTTGTGAATTCCTGCGGCCTTTCCCCTCTTGCAGCCATGGGGACTGAACCACGGCCTGCACGCGGAGCTAATCCCCCAGCGCTTGTCAGCCTCTGGGCTTGAACCTGTGACCCTCTGGCCGCAGTCTCCCAGCATAAGGTGCGGTTATGGGGCGAGTGGCCACAGCTGGTTAAATTCAGCTCGTGTGATGTTCTCTGAAGAGTCTACCAAAAACATTCAGTCAGGTGGTACACAACTGCAACCCCAGCAGGCGGGAGGGTGAGGCAGGAGGATCGCTGAGTTCCAGGCCAGCCTGAAGTATACAGGGAGACCCTTTGTCTCAAAAAAAAAAAAAATTCAATCTAGAAATGCTTTTTCCCCTTCTCTGCATTTTTTGTTTTTGTTGCAGTATCAGGAACTGAACCAAGGCCTGCACACTGAGATATATCCCCAGCCCTTTAAAAACTCTTTAATATTGGGACGGTCTTGCTAAGTCACTACCTTACCCAGGCTGGGCTCAACCTTGTCTTCTGCCTCAGCCTCCCAGTGCTGGGACTACAGGTGCATGTGCTAGTGTCCAGCTGTGACAAAGCCATTTTCAAGGCCACTTACTCTTTCAAGCCTGCTTACTAACTGGATGTGAAGGCGGGCGGTGCCTCACGCAGACGCTGTGTGGAGCTGGACTTCCCACCCAGCTTCCCCAGGGATCTTACCTTCGGGCTGCAGCTCGTTCTCCACGGCTGAGCTAAGACAGTAGAAATAAGGATGGTGGACCCATGAAAAGGAAATCATAACTGAAAAAAAATTGTACTTTTGATTTTTTTTTTTGTCTTTTTGAGACAGTGTCTCGCTATGCAGTTCAGTCTGGCCTTGAGCTCACTCTGTAGCCCAGGCTGGTCTCGAACTTGCAAAGGGGTTGTTTTGAGACAGGGTCTTGCTATGTAGTTCAGGTTGGCCTGGAACTTATGGTAATCTTCCTGCCTCAGCCTCCTGAGTGCTGAGATCACAGTTGTGCACCACCAGCTCAGCTCTATAGTTTTTTTTTTAACCTTTTAGAGACAGGGTTTCACTATGCAGTTCAGGCTGGCCTTGAACTGACTTTGTAGCCCAGGTTGGCCTCGATCTCACAACCACCCTCCCGCCTCAGTCTCCCGAGTGCTGGGATTACAGGCATGTGCCACCACACCTCGCCAATTTTCTTAAAAGTAGAGTTTTTAATTTCAGACGTGGTGGTGCACACCTGTAATCCCAGCACTCTGGAGAAGCAGGAGGATAGCTGAGAGTTTGAGGCCAGCCTGGGCTACATTGTGAGTACAAGGCCAGCCTGAACTCATACTGAAGTGGTGGTGCACACCAGTGATCCCGGTCTAATCTGATCTGAAGCCTAAAACACACCAGTTCTTAGTGCATTAAAAAAGCAGTAAGGGGCTGGGGATTTAGCTCAGTGGCAAAGCGCCTGCCTGGCAAGCGCAAGGTCGTGAGTTCGGTTCCCGGTACCAGACAAAAACAAAAAAACAAAAAACAAACAAACAAAAAAAGCAGTAAGGCCAGGTGTGGTGGCACACACCTATAATCCAGCACTAGGGAGGCTGAGACAGGAGGATCCTTGCTAGTTTGAGACCTGCCTAGGCTACAAAGTGAGTTCAAGGCCAGCCTGAACTGCATAGGGAGACCTTGTCTCAAAAAGCCAGAAAAAAAAAAAAAAAAGCAGTAAGATGTAATAGAGGCAGGGAGTGTAGCTCAGTAGTGGAGCACTTGCCTAGCATCATGAGGCCCTGGGTTAGGCCCCCAGCACCACCAAATAAATAGATCACTTTTTGAGCAGGATGTGGTGGGACACCTGTACCCTAGCACTGGAAAGGCTGAAGCAGGAGGATTACCAAGAGTTCAGGGCAGCCTAAACTGCATAGCGAGACCCTGTCTCAAAAAACAAAAAATTAATTATGAAAAAGACTGGGGCTCCAGCACACATTAACCCAAGGTCATTCATATCAATATTTTCTAGGGTTGTTTATGCTTATTCTAGGCCCATCACTTCCTAAGTCCTGTAAAGATACTTTACATTTATAAATTAGCTTACTTGATAAAGGGCAGAAAACTTGATCTTAAAGGAGACTGAGAGTTCAAGCAATGCTTCCAGGTAAAACATCTTAGCTCACCCACCTCAAAATTAATTGGTGGGGCTGTATCTTCTGCCTGCAAATGGGATCGACAAACCCGCCAATTTCCACCACCCAAACATCAATCCTCCAGCTCCAGACTGTGGCATGCTTCTCTCTGCAGGGCCTGCACTTACTTTCTGTGAATACTTCTTGATTTCTGCCTAATTAAACCCCTCTATGCCTCTTATTGATGCATCCTGAAAACCTTTTTCCATGGTAGGAGCCGGGTAACCTGCAGCTTATTCCACAGGAAGGGAACCTCCTGGGACTCTGTCCAGCAAGATTGTGGTCTTATTATTATTTTTTAATCTTTTGAGACAGGGTCTTGCTATGCAGTTCAGGCTGGCCTTGAGCTCACTTTGTAGCCGAGGCTGGTCTCAAACTCAAAATGATCCTCCTGCCTCAGCCTCCCGAGTGCTGGGATTCCAGGTGTGCACCACCATGCCTAGCTGAGACCGTGGTCAGAGGCAGCGGAGGCAGCCTTGGGAAGCTGAGTGAGGCTGGTGGGGGTCTGGAGAGTGGTGGGCTGTGTGGATGACACACTGCACTGTTTACCTCCCCCAGGGAAAGGTTAGCCATTTGGTTACTGGGGTGGCTTTTGTGTGCGGTACTGGGGGTAGAACCTAGGGTGCTCTACTACTGAGCTCCATCCCTAGGCATCTTTATTAATTTTGAGAAAGGTTCTAAGTAGCTAAATTACCTGGAAATTTCGATCTTCCTGCCTCAGTCTGATGCTAGGATTCCTGGCTTTTGCCTCCACAGGCAATTTAAATGTGACTTTAAACAAAGCAAGGTGAGCCAGGTGTGGTGGGGCCTGCCTGTGACCCCAGCACTCCGGAGGCTGAGGCAGGAGGATCCTTGCACGTTCGAGGCCAGCCTGGGCTATATAAGTGAGTTCAAGACCAGCCTGCACTACCTAGCCTGGTCTCAAAAAGCCCCCCAAAACCAGAGCAATGTTTTTTTTTGTACTAGGAATCTAACTCAGGACCTTGTGCTTGCCTGGCAGGCACTGTGCCACTGAGCTATATCCCAGGCCCCAGAGCAATGTTTATATGCATTAAAGTTCTCTTCTTTTTCTTTGAAGACTCTACAGTGGACTTGTTTTTCATGAGGCTGGGGTTCTTTAAATATCCTAAAACTAGCCATCACAAAATCCCAATTTATTCAACTCTAAAATAAGATAAAGCATGTTTACTTTTGGAGTGGGGATGTACTGGTTGAGCCACATCTCTCTTCAAGGTCAAGAAGAGTGTTGGTTCCTGGCTGACAATATCACAACTCAGAATGTAGTACCTCAAGAGCTGAAGTTATCTTGGGCTCGGTCTCTTGTTTTGGTTGAGAGAGTTCAGGCTGGCTTTGAATTCACAGCAATCATCCAGCGTCAGCCTCCAGGCTTATCCTGGGTTATCTTTACCCCCTCAGCAGCCACTCACCAAGAACCTGACCTAACACCCTCGTGACTGCAGGTAACATCTGAATCCTAACACCCATGGCGGTGAACTCTGGATGTACCGACTCAATATAGCTCATGGTTAAGGCCCTGGGTTCAATCCCCTGTATCACCACCCAAGGAAAAAAAAAGTTTACAGAGCTACAGTATTTGGTCAAGTTTAAGTGAGCACAAGGCTTTTAGAATGTCAAGTTTGGGATACATTAGCCAGCTTCCCGTTGACAAAAAGTTCACCCTGAATTCCAATTATTTTCCCAGCAAAATTAAGTTTTGTAGTGTGGTGTCCTAACCCACAATTGATTTTGTTTTCGTGGTACTGGGACTTGAACGCAGGGCCTTCGCGTTGAGCTACATTCCCCAGCCATTTGTTTTATTTTGAGACCGGGTCTCACAGGGACTAAGCCCAGTTACCTGGGCTGATGCTCCTGCCTCAGCCTCCCAGAGTGCCGAGACGGCAGGCCTGCGCCACCACGCTTCCCCTTTTATTTGCTCGCACCCGAATGATGCGGAGAGCCCCTCTGCAGCTGCACCAGGCAGGAACTGTAACCTCCGCCCCCGCCACCTCCAGAACCGCGCGCACAGGGTTGAAGGCACAGAGCCGCACCGCCTCCTGGAAGGAGGATTTCTGGGGTGGGAGGCGGGGCTGCCTGCGAGTCTCAAGGAAGCAGATGCTCAAACCCTCCAGCCCTGCACCGACCCGCCCAGGCGCCATCCGCCCGCTCGTTCCCTCCGGCCGACGACGAAGTCCTTCCCGCTGCGGCGCCCCGAGGGGCGCGCCGTGCCGTCCGGGCTGAGGCCGGCCGCGGGAGCCCCACTCCGGTGGCCTGGTTGGCGCGGTGCAGAAGGCTATCCTCGCCGCAAGCCGCAAGCCGCTCACCGCGCGTTCGCTCCCGCGCGTGTCGCCGTCTCCGTAGCAACAGGTCTGGCGCGGGGCCCGGATGTTGTGAGGTTCGCAGCCCCGCCACTTCCGACAGCGCGCGGCTTCCTGGGAGTTGTAGTCCAGCTGGCACTAGGAACCTGGCCCGGCGCCCGCGCGGGACTGCGTCTCCCAGCATGCGCCGCGCTCAGGCCCCGCCTCCGGCCGCCGCGAGCAGGTTGTTTTTATGAGGCGTCACCGGCGGCGAGGGTCACCGCCGCAGACTGTGCGCGTTGGCGGAGGGGTCGGCGTCAGGTAAGTGCCGGGCGCGGCGGGATGGGCCGCGTGCGCCCCGAGTCCCG